AGAAGAAGAAGAAGAAGAAAAGGAACAGAAAGAGGAAAAAGGAAAAGAAGAAGGGGAAAATGTTGACCAGGGAGGGGAGGCAGGAAAAGAAGGAAAAAAGAAAAAAGTAAAGCCTCTTTCTCGGGTCGTCGGGCGCGGGCCAAAGCTGGTGTAAATGCCCGTCTGGGGGGGTCTGGGGGCGAGATGCGATTCTCTTGGTGGATTTTAACGTTTTCGGTAACTATGTACCTTAACTGATAAGAGCACACAATCCACGCTTGCAGATCAACCACAACACGATTGAAATAGAGAAAAAAAAAACCATCAATTTCATAATAGAGATAGAAAATATGATAAAGCTACAAACGACCAAGAAACATACCCGAGCACCCGATGCAGGTCCGTCACGAGCAACCCTCGTCGTCCAGTCTGGCCCCATTTCTTGCCCATCAGAGTCATCACCAATTCTGAGCCCCAGTTGACGCCATTGCGCCTTGTGGGGTCCTTCTATCGGCGTCCAATCACTGCCTCTTCAATTCCAACGCCCAATAAAAAGCCGCCAAGCTTTATGTAAATAGATACGCGGAGATGCACATCTTTCTTTCTTATCCCATTATCAAGTCGTTTCTTTTTGAAACATCTGCTATCTATACAGTGATTTCAGCTCCATCCCGGCTTTCTCCCTCCATTCTCGTTGTCTCTATTGTACAAGTTTATGTGCATGGTTGTTGATACATGGTCCCCGCCCCCGCACTTACTCCCCTGATAAAAGTATTATATAGTAAATCGTACAGATAGGCACTTGAACATTATCGTCATGCGCCACTGGCGTGGACATGATATACAGTCCCTCCGCAGGCCTTCGAACACGTTAATTCTTGAACCGTTGCTCAGCTTCCGCGAGCCGGTCCAGCTCGGCCAGCTCCCCGTCCACCTCCTGGTCCATCTCCTGCTCGTCATCGCCCTGCTCCTCCATAATCTGGCGAATCAGCTCCTCCTGCCTCTTCGTCCGGCTATTGCCTCGGCCCGTTCTCGTTTTGACCTGCCAGTCCGTCCCGAGCCCCTCGCGTGCCGCCTCGCGCTGCGCCTTCTTGGCCTCTATCGCCCGCTGCTTCTCCGTGTCCACGCCGCTGCCGGTGCGCGCCGCCCGCGGTACCCGCGTCTTGGCCCCCAGCGCCCACAAGTCGCCCCAGCGCGATTTGCGCGCGTCGTGGTACGCCACCTTGCTGAAGCTCTTGGGCACCGTCCACCGCTCCAGTCGGCCATCAGGCGTGCACGCGTCCAGCGTCACGTGGCCCTTGCGCTTGATGGGCGGCAGGAGGATGCGCGGCAGCGTCTGCATGTCGGGCGTCGCCTCGGCCTCTTCATAGCCGCGGAAAGCCTCGTCGGCGAGCTCCTTGCTGTTCTGCGCTTCGCCCTGTCGCACACCCTTCTGAATTGCCACGTAGCTAAACTCGACTTCGCCTTGATTGTGCGACTCGTTGCCCATCAATTTGCTGTAGAAGCCCGGCCGTACAAATCTCTGACTAAAATGGCAGTAATCCTTGCGCCCTTTGCTCTTGCCTGGCTCTGGATACATGGGGCATGTCCCATGGTTAGTGCATGGCGCCAGAATTCGGCCGGCCTCGAGCTCCCTGTGAAATGCTGGATTAAAGTCGTCTGCGTTGATAGGGTTCTCGCCAGATTGTGGCAGCAAAAACTGCTTCAGGAGCGTGTCTCGTACGTGCGCAACAGCTTCGAAGCCGCGTGGGTGCGCCTTCTCCATGACGATAAGCACGCCACCATCCGGGCTCAGCAGCGTCCAGAGGTTGTTCAAAATGGCTTGTCGGTAGTGATCCTGCTTTTCCTTCAGGAACAAGTGCGACGCAATAATGATGTCGTAGCTCTTGCGCTTTTGCGGTTCGCCTCCGGAATCCAAATGTTGGCCGCTCTTCATGGCACCCGAGTGCATGTAGTCGGGCAACCGTGGAATAAATGTCGTGTTATCGAGAAACGTCTTGAGACGCCCACGCAGTCGATCAGAACCTACAACGACAGTCTTCTTGCCGGGTATCTTGTCGCCATGAACTTGCCCCTTTTCGGCAAGTAAATCCCATTCCGTTTGCAAGATTTGCTCCCAAGCAACGAGACCTGCGCCTCCCGCACCAGCATCCAACACACTCAAGCCCGGCCCGTTATTCTTTAGCCGCGACTGGATCCAGTCACCGCCAATCCGCTTTCTTACTTCTCGTAGCGTTGCCATGGCGCTGGCGTAGGCTCCCGGAACATAGGCCGCCAGGAAAGCATCTGCTTCAATCTCCGTCATATGCTTGGAGTCTGGCGGTAGGCCAATGCCGCCCATGTGGCCATTTCGCAGTCCAACAGGGGTCACTGGGGATGTCGGGAGACCCCTGCCTCCAAAGGCCGACTGTGCGGCAGTCCTGACGTGATCCAAGTGTGTTCTTCCAAGAAGCGACTGCAAAGGCTTTACTAGGCGCTCTTGGGGAAGCAATATCTCCACAGGGCTGTTATGAAAGCGACCCTCCAATGTGTAAGGATGAAAGCGTTCGCCTTCTCCCGTCGATGTTGATTGGTATGTCGGGTATTCTCCATCTGCCCATGAGCTCTCGCCCTCGGTACCGTGGGACAGTTCATCGTCCTGTTCCAGCTCTTCGGTTGCATAGGCCGCTTCCTCCTGCGCTCGCGCGGCTGCGTCGAAATCCTTCTGAAGCTGCTCCATGGCAATGCGCTCTCTTTCGCTTCGCGCAACGAAATCGACGTATCCGGGGGCTTTAGCAACTACAAAGTTGTCCACACTCTCACCGTCTTCCGCCGATTGCTTTGCCATTTCATAGCTTACTTCTTCGAACTCGCCACCCTCGAGCTCTCGAAGCAGTATTCCTTCGCCTTCTGGGTTCGCGCTCCCCATATCGGAATGCTCCGGAATACCAACATCTTCGGGTGTCGTCTCGCGCAGCGGCGGGCCGTATAACCTTTCGTAGAGACGATATTCCTCCTCGTTCAAGTAGCCCTTGGGGAGTGTATCTCGAAATCGTTGTTTGGCATCGCGCACCACTTGCTCAATATTTTCCGTAGGTTGTATCACTTCTCCGGCCGCCGAGCCATCTTTTAGGCTTCGTGAAGTGGAAAAGTGTCGAGCTGCAGCTGTTCGACGAGTGGAGGGGAGCGTCGCAGTTTGTCGGCGCAATCTTTGTAGTTTTGTAATTCCTAGGCACTCAACCCTGTGTTGTCGCGAGGCCGCCACAGAAGCTCTGTAGCATCTCGGACAAGCATTTCGTATGCCGGCCAGAGAAAGCATACTTTTTTATTGCTGCCTGTGATGAATGGGGAAACGATTCGGCCAGAAAGCTCCCAGAACTTTTCTTGTCGCGACGTCACGTGTGCTGGTCATATTCATTTAGGGGTCGCTGATAGGTCGCTACAGGGCCCATCAGCTCCTTAGGTAGGTACCTAAGTAGGTACTCTGCTCGATTTATGGCGGGTTAAATATCTAAGTCACGCCAGGCAGCTTGGTCGTCACCCAAGGTAAGACTCGAGGTGATTAAATCTTTCGAATTATGCCAGGCGGAATTTCGACTTCCGTTCTATGAGAACCATAGACAGCGGGGGTGGCTTGCAGGCCTTCCCGGCACACTAGATCATGCCTGGAAATGCAGTTGACTCGCTATCAAACTAGAGTCAAGGTAGCATCTCAAGGCAAACTGTCCGTTTGCGTTCGAGGGTCGACAAGGGCAAAAAGCCAATGTCTTGCTCGTCGCAATGTCGTAGTCGCACCATAGCGCGACTCATAGGAAATTTGTCTATCTCGGTGAAGCCTCTTTCGCCAAGGCAGATTGCCGTTTCACAACGCAGGAACATGAGTCGGAGAAGACGGTCACCCTGTCTGTCACCATCTTTTCTCTTGAAAGAAAATGGACAACGCATTACCTCCCTCGTGTATTGTTCAGAGTCTGCCCACGCAAACCATGTCAGCATAGTTAGCCAAGAGGCCTCGATGTCGCAGTGGCGTGTTCTGGTGACCAGACTGCGGGGTTCACTGCATCAATGGGTGGTGGCATGGACTTTGAGACTACCAGTTGCCCAAAAAAGCAGGGGAGCTGGAGAAGGCGCAGAGTCAGGCCGAACCGGTACCTGGATGCATCTTTACCTGGCTGCAGGACCGGCGATGGGCGAAGGGGCCACGGGAATACTTATATTAGACGTGGTTGGCTTGCAAGCTCGGCCAGAGTCGGAGGCATCAGCCGTCAGTCCGTTCAACGGATCGTGACTAATACTCAAGTGCTCAAGTGACCGAACTAAAAAGAAGAAAAAAACCAGTGCCCAAAGCTGGTTGGCGTAAAACTTAAATCATCAGGACAAGCACAATAGACACGAGAAAAGGCGTCAGACAGTTTTGGCACCCCTCGAGGTAACGTTAGTATCTTATTTACCCGCCTTGGGCTGCCCCGTTATTGCGCCTGTCTTTTGGCTTCCCCTTCTCATCGTCATCCTCAACCTCTACATTGATTTTCACAAATCTACGGATACATTTCACTCTCTTGCTTTCCGCTTTCCAGCAGTCTTTCTTTTCGGTTCTATCATTTTCAACGAGTGGCCCAACAGCTCATCAGCCTGTCGACTCCTCATCCGCTCGCTCCCTTGCGCCTCGACTTGCACCAGTTTCACAATTGCGGCCTCTGCCAACCAATCGAGCCTCTGCAGCCTGAAATTATTTCTACGACCCCAAACTAGCTATCCAGCAAGACCTTTTCTTTTTGAACCATACGCTTTGTCGCCCAAATTAATTTTTATCCACATACCTTACTGCCTGCCTGCCTGCCTGCCTGCTGGCCTTACCCCGTCGAGTCGCCCCGTGCGTCGCCCTCTCTTACCTCCTCCCTTGTACCGCCAACTCTCCTCCTTCAAGGCGCATATTAGCACCTTGAACTGGAGGCGGCGCTGCTCTTGCGCCGGCTATGACGAATTATTCCACCATTACAGATGCACATCCCTCCAATATAAACGCCAGCGACATGTCGAGGTACGACTTTGATTTTTTTTGGAACCTGTTTTCCTCCTTTGGCCCCGTCGAGATCGGCGCCAGCCTCCCCCGAACATTAAGTTGGCCACGTTGAAGACAATCACTGACGGCTCTTGCGACAGCAGACACCGACGACGCGGCGGTAAAGATGCCGGCTACGCGGGCAAAGCCTCGCGCGTGAGCAGCGTCATCAACCTCCTCAACACCAGTATGATCCCTCTCCTGTTTTTCCTCGGTCGTCTGTGTCCGTTCGCCTGCACTCGCCGGCACGGACTTCTCTTCATCCCGCACCGCTGCTAACCGTCCTTCACCTCGGAACAGTCGTCGGAGCCGGAACCCTCACCATGCCCTTTGTGCTTTCGCACATGGGTATTATGCTTGGTGTCGTCCTCATCCTTTGGTCCGCCTTTACCTCCGCCTTTGGCCTTTACCTCCAATCGCGATGCGCCCGATACCTCGACCGCGGTACAGCTTCCTTCTTCGCCCTCTCCCAGCTTACCTACCCCAATGCTGCCGTCATCTTCGACCTCGCCATCGCCATCAAATGCTTCGGCGTCGGCGTCTCCTACATGATCATCATTGGCGACTTGATGCCCGGCGTCATGCAGGGTCTCACCAACCATACCGAAAGCTTTCCCTACCTGGTCAACCGCCATTTCTGGATCACCGCATTTATGCTGCTTGTCATTCCCCTCAGCTTCTTGCGCCGCCTCGACTCGCTCAAATACACTAGCATCGTCGCCCTCGTCTCCATCGGCTACTTGATCGTCCTGGTTGTCTACCACTTTGCTGCTGATGCCCACGCTGACCCCAGCGACATTCGCATAATCGAATGGGCTGGCGCCGTCGAGACATTGAGCACCCTGCCAGTCGTCGTATTTGCCTATACATGCCACCAAAACGTAACAAATCGCCGTTTCTCTAGTTCACTGCTCCCTCGCTAACATTTAGCAGATGTTTTCCATCCTCAACGAGATTGGCGACAACAGCCCCGGCAGCGTGGTTGCTGTCGTGGGCAGCAGCATCGGCTCTGCTGGCTCCATATACTTGCTCGTCGCCATTACCGGCTACATCACTTTCGGCAACTCTGTCGTCGGAAACATCATCATGATGTGTAAGCCTGCCATACCAGTGTCTATATGCTCATAGCTAACCCGCGCAGACGCTACTGGCGTTGCTTCTACCATTGGAAAGGCCGCCATCGTCATCCTTGTTCTCTTCTCGATTCCCCTTCAGGTCCATCCCTGTCGCGCCTCCCTCGATGCAGTCCTCGGCTGGCGTCCCAATCGCTCGCAGAACAATAGCGGCCGTCCTGGCTCCCCTGTGCTGACCGCCAGTCGCGGCGACCATGGCAGCACCGCCCCAATGTCGGACATGCGGTTCGCCCTCCTCACCACCATTATCCTCACATGCGCCTACGCCACTGCTCTCTCTGTCAGCAGTCTCGACCGCATGCTCGCATTTGTCGGCAGCACTGGATCCACCTCAATCAGCTTCATCTTGCCCGGATTGTTTTACTACAAAATTAGCGATCCGGAGAGCATCCATCACCAGCGCCTGCTCAAAGAAGACGACGACATGGAGGATCCGACCTCTGATGTCGAGGAAGCGGCGGGCCTCACACAGAACCCAGCCGCCCCGGGTCCTTCTGGTCCTAGAGGTGTATGGCGCTGGCGCAAAAAGTGGCGCTGGGACCTCGAGCACATTGACCACGAGGTTATCCGCAAGGCTGCTCTGGTCTTGGCAGCGTATGGTATCGTTGTCATGGCCGTTTGTTTGATAATGAACCTGTTCTTCGCTCCATCGCATTAAAATGAACTGTTTCACTTTTGAGGGAGAACTTGGCGGAATCAAAAAACATGTACACAAAAGGTATTTGGGCTTTTTCTACGGGTTCATTTCATTTATACTACGAGGACGGCTCTGTTATTTGAACTACAAGGATGGACATGGAAATCGAGCGAGCACCAAAGTGTGCTCTCTCCAGCATTGGGTTGGTCATTATTTCCTAGCCGGTGTGGCTTGCAAGGCGATTTACGACTTGAGTTGGGTACATGTAGAACAGCGTGTTTTTTTTTTCTTTGGGAAGAGCGCGCCATTGGCATATTCACGGCGAGCGCAGTACAGCAAATATAGCGTTGATTACAATGCAAAGACGGTTCTGATGATTCGTTTTTGTGAATATGCAGCTGTCAACTGAGTATACTCTTTGTTCTGAGGCGGTATGAATCCTATCTTTTGTACATGGTCTGTCTCCCAGGTCCCAACGCCAGTAAAAATGCTGCTTTGTTGTCACATCGCATATAGTAATACAAGAAGTAACGTGTACGCCACGGTGCGCGTTCGGCTTTGAATCTGGTCTCTGAAGTCGCTTTGTGTCAACTCCTTTCCACGATTCCATTCGTCTTTCTTACCCCTCCGGCCTAGTTTTGGTTGCTGTTGCTGTTGCTGTTGCCGCCGCCGACGTGGCCATCCGTGGTCGTAGTTGCCGCCCTTCGTCCCCCCTTCACCTTCCATCCGCTCAGCGAATGCGCACCTCACCCGGGTTCACCTCCTTGGTCGCCTCCGGCCGTGGCGGCCCAAATTGCTTCTTGGGCAGAATGCCGACCATGCTCAGCAGCCGCCACGCCGTGTCGGTGGGCTGCGCCCCGACACCGATCCAGTACCGCGCGCGTTGCGTGTCGAGGCGCACGTCCTTGTGCAGACGACCAGGCGTCGTCTCGTACGGGTCGGCCTTGGGCACCGGGTCGTACGTGCCAATGACTTCAAGGGGTTTCGAGTTGCGTGCCGTGCTGCGAGATGGGAAGAATGTTTAGTCTTTTTTTTTTTTTGGTATTGGGTCAAATGAGAGACAGGGACTGAGGCGCATACCGTGCGTGGGCGACGACAATGTTGTAGAGGGGCAGATTTCGGCGCCCGAAGCGCGCTAGACGAATCTTAATCACCATGGCGAGGTATGTTTGTGATGTTGGTGAACGGTTGAAATGGAAGCGAGTCTATATTTGTCGTCACTCTCCTGATGGGGCCATTCTCACCAGGTTCAAACTTGCTGCTGGCTGGCAAGTCTCCGCTTTATTTCCTTCCAACTCGCTGTGGTGGTCCGAAGTTTTGCCGCGCGCCGGGCAGGCCAGATCAGCATGGGCTTGTTTCCGGCCAACGGTCACCATGCCGTTGCATGCAACCCGAATCAAGCTCACGGCAACAACCCGTTTCTCGAGTCAGATAGCCCTAAGATTCTACTATATCTATTTTCAGATTTACGCATCGCCCAGTCTTGGGAATCGTGACTTCTGCCTGCCCCAAGCAGTTGAGAAAGCAGACCGCCTGTAGGTATACCTGAGAATATACACATTCTAGGGATAGACATTCACCCCTGACGGCTATCAGTATTTTCAAAATTAATTATCGTGTAAGACATAGACTCGAAAATTTTATGACATTTATTATTGATTTTTATTTGGTCATCGAGGTGTGAGGTGGTGCTTAATTGCGTATCATGCGTAGAATGGCGTTCGCGATCTTTATTATCACCTGAGTGCTGCCTTCTAACTGGGTAGATACCTACTTACTAATCGGTAACGTCGAGTTCTAGCACACACACCAATGTCGATCAATGTTGATCCAAAGCGGTATAGCGGCAGCCGCGCCGTTACTGCCGACTCCGTTGTTGGGTCTCAACGGCGGCAGGTGTGCAGACAACGCATCTCTTACATCATAGGCAACCGTTATCATTCGCACCGCATCTCAGCATCATCATGACTCTCAAAGTAGGTGATTCTCGTGTCATATTTTGAATTCGTCTCACCACCGAAGCATGCATGGCTGACGATCTCGGCTTCTTGATTCCATAGACCCTGAGCGCCAAGGCCGCCGCCGCTCTAGACCAGGAGCTCATGAGCACCAGCGCTTTCTCGCTGGATCAGCTCATGGAGCTCGCCGGTCTCTCCGTCTCCCAAGCTGGTACGTCTTGTTCTTCGGTGGTCTTGCTGCGTTTCGGCATGCCGAGATGGCGCTGCATTGCTACAAGCTAATATGCACGCGCGCTGCTTGATACAGTGTTTCGGGTTCATCCTCCGAGCATGGGTCGCAAGGTTCTCGTGGCTTGTGGTCCGGGAAATAATGGTATGCTCCATCTTGGGAATCATGAGTGCTAGACAAGATCTAACGAGCCCTTGTCAAGGCGGTGATGGTCTTGTCGCCGCTCGTCACTTATTCTACTATGGTTATCGACCATCCATTTATTACCCAAAAAAGGGCAAGAACGAACTATACCAGGTTAGCCGCCTACATTCACAATGATTTTTCTCTGAATCTTCGGGGGCGTTGTTTTCTGGCGTCTATTTCTATGCTTCTCTATATATGTGTTTACCTGGTCATCCCCAGAGCTCAACCTGACCTCGCATTCATCTCCAAAGCATTTTTAACTATCTAGACGCGACACAAAATCCAACCCAAGTTAACTACTGGAGAATATTCATGTAGTCGCTGATCGCTTTCTTAGCGCCTTGCAAAACAACTCGAGGATCTGCAAGTCCCGTTCATCGAAGATTTCGTGTCCGCAGCGCAAGATACTGATCACATTATTGACGCAATCTTCGGTTTGTGGAATCGTGTAGCCGCCTCCGGAACATTGTGTCTAACTGTGTGATAGGATTCAGCTTCTCAGGAGAAGTTCGAGAGCCGTTCCCAGCCGTAATACAGGCGCTCCAGAAATCAGACAAACCCGTCACGTCCGTGGACGCGCCTTCATCGTGGGATATCGAGCAAGGCCCTCCAAAGTCGGGATTGGGGAGCTCCTTTATGCCTACAACGCTCGTTAGCCTATCCGCACCAAAGCCGTTGGTCAGACACTTTACGGGACGCCATTTTGTCGGTGGCCGGTAAGTTGGCTTCCCGAAAATGCTGTTAAAACGTACATAATGTGGACACGGCCACTAAGACGATCTGGCCAGATTCGTGTCGCCTATGATTGCGGAAAAGTACAACCTCCAAATGCCCGAGTACGAGGGTGTCGACCAGATCGTCGAAGTTGACGTGACAGGAAACAAGCTGTGAGAGTGATAAGTTGGTGTCAAGGCGGTTTTCTGGACGACAGCAAACTACATGACAGCACAACCTCCTCTCAAGCTGTTTGGGCAGACGGGACTGGGGCACTGGCCGTCTTCCATATCATTTCGAATAAATTCTGTGCCGTTGGGACATTCGATATAAGGCGGATGGTAGGAATGGCAGAATGCAACAAAGACGAGGTACTCTTTCCCGCAGACTGGGCAATCCGCCGTATAGGCTTTGCACATTTATCTCGAGCTGAGCACACTGAATGCGAAATAATCTCTGTCCAACCCGTCAAAGATAAGGGGTAATGATATGTAGCTGAGGACAAGAGTTCTTCGTGTTCGCCCCCATGGGAGTCGTTGCAGCCTCAGCCGCGGTAGGTGTAGATGGGCGCGAGGTGGCGCGAGCAGTGAGTTTGTGGAGAGTCAGGCCGAAGATGGGCAAGCAGAGTGGCGACGGGCTGCCCAAAAGTCAGAGCACAAAGACAAGTTGTGAAGCTGACTATGAGAATATGGCGAGAAAACTATAGGCCACGATAGCGAGGTGAAGAAAATTTAGTTTGTCGAGTGGCTGTTGAGGAGCGCCTACTTGGGCAAATCGAGACCGACACTGGCAAAAGGGCCGGGTCAAACCAGGTGTCGTCGTGCAGGGTCAAGCCACAGATAATGGGAAAGAAGGTATTCCAAGGATGTGGTGAAGTAGACTCGCCACAGCCCCGTGTGGCTAGGAAGAAGGGGCGAGGTGAGGAGACAGGATTGGGGCCCAAGACCTCACCAACAGCGAACGACAATGGGCTATTGGAAGGAGCTTGTGACAGGCGAGGAGCATAGGGACAGCAAGAACTGGCCACACCACACGCACAACGGCGCACCCACCGAGAGAGAAAGCAGCCTGCCGAGTGGTGCAAGGTAGCCAGGTGCACCCAATGAGCAGGCACCCGAAACAACTACATGCTAACTCCAGAGCTGCCTTGCTGCAGCAAATATAGATAGTGTGCCGGGCTGGCACGGCGACGTGTACTGATAGTACGAGCAGCGAGCAGCCCGGTGGCGGGGACCGGGCGAAGCGGCACATCTTACAGGCATCATGATACCCTGAGCAGCCGATGCGTCACGGCAGCAATAGTGGTCTGCAGCACGCCGGCTCCAGTGCAAAGACTGCCAAAACAAAAGTGGCCAAAAGAAGTGGCCAACATAATGCAACGGAGGCAAAGACGTTGTTGACGAGGGCTGGCCGGAGTAAAAGCTCCGTGAAAAGCTCTGATAGGCCCGAGCCGACGGGTGGACAGGGGAATAGAGAACTCCAGGGGACGTTCCACTTTTCTCTAGTAGAGGAACAGGCGACCAGGCGACGCCACAACCAGAATGCTGGGAGCTACCTAACGCTAATAACGTTGTTATAACCCGTTACCAATCAACTCTTGTGGAAGGGGTTTGCACATGCACTTTACACTCGACATAGGACCCTTTGCTCCTCACCAACGGCCCGCTTTCACATCATCATTCCATCAGCATTTCATCTCTTCATCCTCATCGTGGGGGTTTCACTCATTGTGCCGATCAGCCACGCTCTTCGTCTTTCTCCGAGGCCTCCGTCGCTATTTTGAGCTTCCTCTTCCTTTCCTCCCCCCCCCCCCCCTTATCCCCCCCCTTCACGCCATCTCTAATATGGCACACGCTTCCATCGCCAAGCAGACTAGCAGTCCAAGACTTTTTCTCTCCGCAAGGCCGACGCAAATCTTTGATGCAGCCGCTCCTTCGGTCCTGTCGTCGATCCAGTCTCCCGATGGCAAAATCTCTTCCTCATAACCGGCAAACTATATCCCTCCCACTTCGATCTCACCGCAGATCGCCGCCCCTAACCAGGCACAGGCAAAATCTCCTCATAAATAAAGTTGCCCTTTATAGCGAGCCACATCCAGCGCCGATATTGCCAAACACACGCGCAATAACCTCCGGCATGGCGCATCTGCGGAGACAGTCGATTTGGAGCCAAACATTTCTTTCTCCTCGCCTCGGCCCGAGCAGGTGATTCGAGATGAATAGGCGCCTCGATGCTGAGAAGGCTCTCACAACATGTCCATCATTTCGATATCCAAGTCTTGTCATCCACGTTCTCTCAACATTTTGTACCAGACTTGGTGCCTTCGAATATCACCACAGCCTGCATACAAACTATGAATAAGCGAATCGATACTTTCAGCCCGGCCCACTATTTCATACATCCCTGGCCCAATTTCCACGACGATTTTGAAGAAATTATCGGGACCGAATAGCCCGTTGCGGACCAGAAGCCCCGGTCGTGCGATGATTCTTGTCCATTGTGAAATGTGTCTGCAGCTGGGAACAAAATCGAGCTACAGGGGCACGAGAGGGGTTACGGGCCATAGAGCCAATTCACGACATCGTCCATGCGAAAGCCGTTTATTAATTTATCAGTAAACGAGCCCTCCGCCCTAACGCCAAGGTTGCCTGCCATCAGCAGCAAATGCTCCGAGCTGACGAGCCACACGTTGCAAAAAATGTGTCACCGCCGTCAGCCGTGTCTCAGCATGTTTTTTGCTTAGAAAAAAAAACCGCTCTGTAGCAAAACGCAGCATGTCGGACATTGCGCCCGGAGCGTTGCATGATACCGCCACTCAACTGTTTGATGCAGACAGGCCATTATTACGCAATATAACGACCCGGCCTCAAGATCCAGCGATAGCGAAAGCATTTTATACGCTAGTTGAAACTGTCAACTGCGAACTGACGGGTTCTTCATGCAAGAACAACTTTTTCCATTTATCAAATGCAGTCTGGACATTGAAGATATTGTAAGCATACTTCTATCGCGCCTATATATTTGCATTCTTTTCATCTGCTCGTCATCTCCTCAAACATCCATACTCTCAGCAAGAAGCTTCCATAACGCACACTTCGTGACCAAGTCAAAAGGCACAGTCTCCATCGCTGTGTTGTTTGTTTCCAGCCGCATACGCTGGCCCTGCTCACCCACAAACGCTCCCCAGTTTTGCCACAACGGCGATCCGGGCTGCCGACTTGTATTTGGGTCCAGAAACCGAACGAAGCTGGTAAAGTACGCCATAGTTACGGGCACAATAGGCGCATTGGTGGTCCTTAAAGATTTCGCCTCGTGCCCCCGGATATTGTCGGGCCCAAAGATGGCTCCGAGCTCACTAACGTGTGGCACACCGAAGCCTTCGGCAACCTGCTCTGGATCGGCAACGTTGTAACGATAATTCCACAACTTGTCTGGGCCCACGAAGGCTGAGATGGCATCGGACATGGTATTTCCCGCGCACACAAAGGTACTATCGCCATATACAGCGGCAGCAGATGGGAAATAGGCGGCGTGCTTGGGCAAAGGTTTCATCTTCGGGTAGATGGTGCTAACAATGTCGAGCTGCCATTCTTGAAGGCGTGGGTAGTTGGCTCGCAGAAACGATGACACCTCGGTCTCGGTGCTGGCATTCACAGCAAACAAAGTGCCTTCATCGGTATCAGCGCCCACGAGGAGGGGCACACGCTTGAAGCGGCCAGTCAGAAACTGCTTGTACATGTTGTCTTGAACGAGATCCCCGTCAATTACAGGCAGCCAATACCACAGCGGCGCGGGATCCTCGGTATGGGCCTCGGGGAAGGGCGAGGGCTGGCTGGCGTTGCCCAGCGCGCCAACGTCGAGTTTGCGAAGGCAGTCGAGGGAGTCGCACTTGGTGTCGCGAAGCAGACGAGTGTATTGAAATTCCATTTGGTCTACTTTTCGCTGCGTCGGCCAGAATGGGCTTTCAGGTATGCCACCAACGAAGAGATTCTCCTTGTCGTTGCCGCCGTAGGCGGTCAAATGGTGCGAGACGGAACCGCCACCCGCAGAGTCGCCGTGAATTACGACATGGTTGGGGTCGCCTCCAAACTGCGCACAAAGGGTTACCAAAATAATTAGCCGTGGCACTTGGGCAGTTCCTCTGAACGACGAATGAACATACCTGGCCGATATATTTCTGCACCCACTTGAGAAATAACCGTTGGTCCAAGAGACCAGCATTCAGTGCGCCATCCTTGCGGACCTCTTCGCTTGCCAAGAAGCCAAGAACGCCGACGCGGTAGTTGAAACTGACAAAAACTACGTTGCCGCCGCTCTGCTGAACGATCTGAGTCCCGTTATAATTGCCGTTCGAGTTGTGCGCGTAGCCGCCGCCTTGGATAAAGACCCAGACGGGAAGTTTAGACGCGGTGGTGGCGTTGGCTGGCTTGAAGAGGTTGGCAAAGAGGCAATCTTCTCCAAACACATCATTGGGACTAACGCCGGAGCCATCGACGGTCCCGACGCAGAGAGCGCCAAGCTGCGGTTGTGTGAGCGAAAGGTAGGTGTCCAATGGGTTTTGGTTTTGGTGCGGTGTGCGTGGCGTGGCGTACCTTGGTCGCGTCTTGCACCTGGTCTTCGTGGAATGGCTCCTCGGGTGCGCGGAAGCGCAAGTCGCCCAACGGTGGCTTGGCGAAGCGCATACCGAGAAATTGGTCGACACCGGCGCCGGCTACGCGCGACCCTCGGTACGTGGCATAGTCGAGGTGAATGAGTGGCGCGCCGTCAATGTCCGCAGAAAGGGCGACTGCAGCTCCGAGAGCGCCAGCAACGCACATCAGTTGCATGAGGAGCATCATGATGCGTGCATGTGTTTGTGTAAGTGTGTGCATGTATGTATGTATGTCTCTGTAAATGCTTTCTATGTGCGCAACTGCCTCGGAATTTACAATAGGTAAAGATGTATAGTACCAGTACCGTGATGCACAGTATCACGAGTATCGTGAATCACGAACGGAAATCTGGGGGCCCAGGTCGGAGTCTTATACCAAGAAAGCAAGTAAACGAATGTGCAGCCGCCTCATGCGCCTTCCCTATATCCGGGACCGCACGGTGGTAGCTGCATGTGGGTGACCTTTCTCGGTGCATCTAAAGCCGTGCTCCAATACGACTGTGACGCTGCGTCGGTGTCCTTATTCGTCGTCTTTTCTCACCTCTTGGTGCTCCCCCACCGGCGTGCAAATGTTCTTGTGTAAATTGGTCTCGGATGATGGAGTCTGTATATTGAGCAGATTATTACAAAGCTTGGCCTAGCTATGCTTCCTTATCCCCGATGTGGCATCATTTTAGTGCCGGCACTCTCGGACTCGTGCTTAGCAAGCCGGTTCTTGGGGAGATGTGGAAAGAAAATGTAATCTTTTTCACTTTTTAATTTGACTAGTCGTGAATAGCATCGTTTTTTATTTTTTTTTTTTTAAAAAAAATTGAAAAAAAAAATAATGAAAAGAAGAAGAAGAAGAAGAAGAAAACAAGGCCTCAAAACTCGCATGCGGGAACTTTTGCAATGCAAAACATCAATACCGGACGAGCGGGGTCATCAACGTGCGTCGTGCAAAAGTTGCCAACCCTCCCTCTCCTGTTGTCTTGTACGACACACAGCACGAGGTATTCACCGCGAGCTGGCCGATGTACGGGTTGTGGAAGCTTGAATTTCGAGGAGGATCGACCAATCATTAGTGGGTAGGGATCTGACATGCTGGGTTGGGTTTGTTTTTTTTTTTTGTCCCCCATCCAATCTTGATGTACGGACGGCCGTCGGCAATTTGATAGAGAAGAGATGACGGCTGGTTGTACTGCCGCGCTGAAGGGGGATGGCAAGGTGAGGTGAAAGGTTCCTGTTGCTTGCCAAGTTGGCAAAATGCCCCTTTGATGAAGAACTTGCAACGAGTCTCTCATCCGGGAGCTACAGGCGCAAGTTCTTTTTTTTTTTTCTCATGGTTCCTTAATTACCGGTCTCGGGGTATTTTACTGACGACCGGCTAACTCGCCGTCCTCCGAGGTCAGTGCCGTTGAAGGGAAATTAAAGAAAAGATGACGGCGACTGCGATACTACCAACGAGGCCAGACGAGGCTACTGCTGTTGTTGCCTAGGCGCGTCGTGTGTACAAAGGCGTTACATGGGGTGAAGCACCGACCACAGCGCCGGTTCTGTTTGCGGGACGCTGCGGACGACAAAGGCAGATGAATGAACAGTTGCCGAGAATCGCGCGGGCATCTTGTCAAGGATGCTCAAGTATCGGCCAGAGATAACACGGAATTGTAAACTCGTCTTAATGCCTCGGATTCTCCTCATCGATGAATATTGGAGAAGCGCTTTGCACACGCCGAGTCGGGTTTACACTGGCAATAAGGGCCAACACAAACAAAACTGTCCGGGCTAAATCAGAGCTGATAGGCTGCTCGTTATTTCCCAGGACAATTATGAATCTCGAACCTACAATGTTTCCCTTTTTTTTGGTATTGTAGAGTAGCCGAGCAGAGCATTCACTCCTTTACAATGGTCTTTTATACGGCCGCTCTGTTCACTACGTTGTTGCCAAATACAGAAACCGCTTGTCGACATTGCGTTGTTGGTGCGCTGGGCTCAAGTTGGGCGCCCAGCGCGCCGCTTGCCGTGACACTCGTGGCGTCTCCTTGCGCGCCCGCGCGCGACGAGCATCTTCAACTCGGCTATAGCACCTATTAGTGTGCAGGGTTATTACAGTCGACCAGTAATGTTGCGAGAGTATATCGATGGGTCGCCTGGCGTCGTATATGTCTCAATCTATCCGTTGGGGGGCGTTGGTCTCGCGGAGGTGGTCTCGCGGTCCGGCGGGGGCTCGGCGCTGGCGGGACCCATGACGAGCAGATACGGGCGCGGCGGTGAGATTGCAGATAGAAATACGGGGTTTTTCTTGATAGAGAGGTCTTTTTTTCGGTGTCGAGATGGGTTCTAGACATTGTTCTGTGGGGTTTGGTCCGAGATCCACGTTAGAGTTAATTAGCATTGTGCGCACCGGGTGAGGGGTCCGCGCCGATGTGGTTTGGGCATCAATGGTGCGGGAAAAGGCGCTGAAAACTCTGGGGCATTTTGAGGCGTCTTGATGAGAAATGTAACAAGAATGCCAGATTTGGGATAGTGAGCTCCAGGTGGCGGGAGCGCGCGTGCTCGGTAGAAGTATGATTCAGTACCTTGCAGGGCTGTGCAGGCAAGGTTGTTCGCGTTGGCTTCTGGAAGGTTTCCAAGCGAGTTGGCACCAGGCGGGCGGTCGGTGGCCCGCGGGTCCGAAGGAATCACAGAACAGCATCGAGTCTGAAGTATGGTAAGGCTATTTCTTCCGGCAGACGCAGCATGAGGCATATGCGAGACGCAAGTTGTCGAGCGTGGCCTGGTGTGTCATGGTCAGCAAGCAGCACAAACAGACGCAGCAGGATGGCCCGGAAGGATGGCTCGGAAGGATGGCTCGGAAGGGCTGGCCGAGAAGCTGGCACTACTATCAGTAGTATCCGTAATCGGTGGGCGCAAGACAGACCGAGTGGCTGTGGGCGAGTAATGGCTAAGAGTGATAGACATGAACAATTCCCTATCTGTCGAGATGCATGGATTGGTTTTCGGCGGTAATATGGTTTGCAGGGTTGACGATGTGGATCTGGGGCGTTGGGTGGTGGGGGTAGGTAGAGCTGGAGACGGCTTCCTTCGGCTCGAACATGATGGAGAGGTGCTGAGTCGAGTGCTACCAGAGTCGTTAGTTTCTTGTTGAAAGTAACTGATGCAAAGGGCGTGCAGCAGAACGAAGTCCCATGGTGCTACGGTTATGCGGTGGATGCCGTGGCTCGCCTTGGCAAGTTCAGTGTCTGGTGATGATGGGGCTTTGTTGGAGAGAGAAAACTGATGACAGACCAACTGCAATTGGCAGACTGATGCGTGCACCGACTTCCCCATGGCGCCCCAGACGAGAGTGATGCCATGGCGCATGTGTGGCGGACGGATGGACTGATGGAGACAATGGATGGGCAAATGGGATATGGTGGCTTGGTGGTTGGTGGTTGGGTGCGGCTGGAGCTGGAGCTGGGATGCAACTGCGGATGCGGATGCGCAATGCTAAAAATAAGGTACGTAGCGACCAGCGGCCTGTGTCGTGCCGCGTCTTTCCTGCATGGGCAAGCCGCAAGCAGCCTTGTTGCCAACGTTGATCAGCTTTGTACTGAAGTGTGTGGTGCTTCCTCTTGCCTCTCCGAATGCCTTTCCTTTCGTGTTGGTTTGCTGCCTGGTTAGGTGCCCAGCCAAGTGTACTCGATCCGTTTTGGGCGATTCGCATGCTGGGCATCGCCGGAACGGTCTCGACTGGCAACGCCTTCCCGAGAGCGCCACGAAGAAGGCCGACTTGATTGTTTCCATGAACAAGTAATTGAGGGTTTAGCTTGTAACCTAGCAGCGCCTCCTCCCCTTGGCGTGGCGTGGTTTCTGTTTCCTTCAGAATTCGAAAAAGTCGTGCCGCACCCGGGCGAGTGAAAGTGGGGGGATCCAAGTGGGGAAGAGAGACAAAGCCAGTGCTGCTTCCGAAACTGTAGCCTACTGCAGAAGATGGAGGGACATGTAGAGTTATCCATAAGGGCAAAGATACCTGGTTCGCGGCAACAAGGCATTTATTAATCATTTATTAATTTAGCTTTGAACGTGATCGAGTTGCATTGGGGAAAATAGAGGCCTTGTCGGGATCCCTGCCACTGTTTCCCCAGGCGGCAGGTGGTGCATGACTAGGTACCTATTGCTAGGTAGGCAGTAGGTTCCTAGGTACGGTAGTAAACGGCGCCAGGGCAATCATGAACAGACGCAAGCCACTCGCTCGTGTTCATGCTGAAAGCCAAAACGGCCGGGCAACGGTCCAATTCTGCTGCCTAGCGCCACGTTTTCGCGATCGAACAAGTACTTGTACAAGAGGTCGCGAAAAGATGCACCTTCTAAACATGACGTGTTTATTCATGATGATAGTCGAGGCTGTTCATAAAATTCGATTAGAGACATTGCGCCTAACGACGATCCGTATAGTTTCGGAATTAGAATCCGTCTAATGTGCTAGCGAAAGTATGCCTTGTTTGCAGTTAAGGCCGACGCTGTCAAGTGACCAGTCGTCTATGGGGTAGTGTGCGTGGGTTGCCGTTGGGGCGAAAGCATGGACGTGCGTAGGTAAATAGCAACTAACGACTCCGTGCTCCGTACTCGACTTGGTCGAGCGACGAGGAAACGGAAAATGAACGTCATGTGTAACCCCTTGTATTGACATGGATCATGGCTGATGCAGCGCCGCAATTATCACTCTTGAGCTGGCAAAATGGGGCTGCTATCTACGACCCCGCCAAGTTGAACAGATATCGCTTCCATCTAGACAAGAATTGACGGGAAAAAAGATAGACTTGACACCTCGAAATCATGTCAATAGAATCATCCGTCTAATTGTGTTCCCGTAAATGTGGAAAAAAAATCAATACGACTCTGCCAACGTATTCAGATTGTAACGGTGAACCCAAATCATCGTGGGGCTCTTACCCAGTTTCTGGGGCTATCATCAGCACCCTTCTCCAGGCTTTACTACGTGCAGGGTTCTGGGTCCCGTTTTACCCCAAAAATCTGCACATTTGCCAGAGATAAGCTACATGAGCGACGTAGGCAGGCAAGGTACCTCCGCTTGCCTGTACCCCTCATGCAATTCTCGGTACCTCAAAAATTCAAAGAGAAAAATTCATAGCCTCGTTCGCCCCCTCCTCCGAGTCCTTTCCTCCCCAAAGAGCCCCAAAACTGGACGCCCGCCCACGTCAACCTATCCAGCCGTTGTCTTTCTTTACCCTCTCTTTTCCCTCCTACTCCTCCACATCCTTCCTGTTCTCTCTCCCAAACCTCTGTCGGGCCAGATTCTCGTTCTCATTCCCGTGTCTGCTCAGTAATCTCCTGGCTTCGTCACCGCAGCCCGCGCCATCTGATGTTTGCCCACTGCTCAGCTCGTTACGTCTCCCTCTACCGCACCTACAGTTAAGCCTGCCTGCTCCCAGCCAGTGCTACGCTGCAATCGCGCTGCAGAAATAAGCGACGGCCCTTTTTCTGACGTCACGTCCCTTCAACTCGCTTGTCGCTTAACTCGCTATATTTGAATTGCAATATACTGCACCTTGCATCTCTCCTCCTCATTGTGCCAATTTTTGCGCCCACTCTGCGCCCACCCTCCACCCATCATGGAGAAAAAAGTCTCACACGAAGCCAATGTCTCGGCCGACAGCTACAACCTCAACCTCGAGGAATCTCGACCTGCCGAGTCGTCCGAGTTCAACCTCGCCCACCAGCATGATCAGCTCGAGCGCGGCCTCAAGAGCCGTCATATTCAGTTCCTTGCCCTTGGCGGCGCCATCGGCACTGGTCTCTTTGTCGGCTCCGGTGGCATTCTCAGCAAGTGCGGTCCTGCCCCTCTCTTCATGGCTTACATCTTCATGATGACTGTTGTCTGGACTGTCATGAACTGCCTCGCCGAAATGGTCACACTGCTTCCCATGCGCGGCATCACCGTTCCCTATTTTGTCGAGCGATTCGTCGACCCTTCCCTCGCTTTTGCCGCCGGCTGGAACTACTGGTACGTCTACGCCATATTAGTTGGTGCGGAGGCCTCGGCCGCCAGTATCATCATCAACTACTGGCCCGGCGCCGCCAAAGTCCACGTTGCCGTCTGGATCACCATTGTTCTCGTCGTCATGCTTCTCCTCAACATCATTGCCGTCCAGTTCTTCGGCGAGGCCGAATTTTGGTTCGCTAGCATCAAGCTGCTCACCATCATCGGCCTCATCATTCTCGGCGTCGTCATCTTCTTTGGTGGCGGCCCCGATCAGAATCATATCAGAGGCTTCTACTACTGGGAACATCCAGGCGCCTTTGTCCAGTTCCTCGGCGTCTCTGGCTCCACTGGCCGTTTCCTCTCCTTTTGGCAGGCCTTCATCACCGCCGGCTTCGCCTTTATCACCTCCCCCGAGCTCATTGCCATTGCCGCCGGCGAGACTGTCGCACCCCGTCGCAACATTCCCAAGGCTGCTCGTCGCTTTGTCTGGCGTCTTGCCATCTTTTACGGCTGCTCCTCTCTCATTATTGGCATCCTCGTTGCCTCGGACGACAAGGACCTTCTCGGTGCTCTCGAGACCGGTGCCGGCGGTGCCGCCGCCTCTCCCTTTGTTATTGGCATACAGAGAGTCGGCATCTCCGTCCTCAACCATATCATCAATGCTGCAATTCTGACCTCGGCCTGGTCTGCCGGCAACTCTTTCCTCTACTCGGGCAGCCGTGTTCTCTACTCCATGTCCCTCACCGGCAATGCTCCCCGCTTCTTCTCCAAAACGACGCGCCTCGGCGTTCCCTATGTCGCTGTACTCACCACTTTTGGCGTCGGCCTGCTCTCCTACCTCAACGTCAGCAACTCGGGTGAAAAGGTTTTCACTTGGTTTGTCAACCTCTCCACCATTTCCGGCTACATTGCCTGGCTCATCGTCATGGTCACGTACATTCGTTTCCGCAAGGCTCTCGAATACAACAATCTGATGGATATCCGCCCCTACAAGACGCCCCTCCAGCCATATGCCAGCTATTTTATGATTGTTCTCGTCAGTCTCCTCACCATTACCAATGGCTTCCAGACCTTTATGGCCAAGCCCTTTGTCGCCGCCGACTTCATCGCCGCCTACATTACCATCCCCCTCGTCTTAATTTTCTACCTTGGACACAAGATGTGGTTCAGAACTCGTTGGGCCATTCCCATACACGAGATTGATGTCACTACTGGTGTCAGGGAGATGGATGAATTGGAACAGATGGATGAGGAGCGTGTCGCCAGCAACTGGTTCCAGAAGGCCTGGTACTGGCTAGCATAGACGTGGTGCGTTCCGACGCTCCCGACGCGACCTTGCTTTGACGATCTGAACCTTTTTTCTTGTCTGTTTCCATGATACACATGCATGTATGCTATATCTGCCAATATTTCTCTCATCTTGTTGGATACCACATTTTGACAACGCATGTCTGCATGACATGAGTTTTACATAATTCAGATTAAATTGCCACATTTCTTGACCTTGCTACCCTGTATTTGTGTGGCTGAATTGTCCCCTGGCCTGGCCATGCCGGGCAGCTGGTTTTCACTCGAGTAAGCCGGATGTGTGTTTGCTTGCGAATTTCCGTGGCCTCGTTTGGTCGTACAATGCTAGTTGAGTTTATCCGCATGTCGCCTACAGGGCAAAGGTCAAACGTAACCGAGTAACATGAATAGGTCAAGCATGGACACCAGTGAAAGTGACCTCGGCGAATGCCACGGAGAAGAAGGAAAGCCAAAGGTGAAACCACAACGCGGTACAGGAATTCACTTTTCGCGATTTTCTGTCATCAAAGACCCTTGATGCATGGAGTAGCTCGGCACATTCCGAGATGCGACTTCCATTTTTAAACGCACATTGTGATGCGGGGGCTAGCGCGTCGGGAATGTTGAGATGCATTCCACGCCGGCCCTGTTTCACCAGTATGGTCTCTAAACCGTGCTAGGCATTACAAGAAGGCTTGTTATGAAGTTGACGCGTGATGAAAGGAATCTGGGCCCTCTTCTTGGTGTTGTCGTTTTGGCCTTGTACAAAGGGTCATGACAAGCAAACGAGCCTAGGGTACCTCTTTGCAAGGGAACCAAAACCATAACCACGAAAAGAAGAAAAAAAATACGAAAAAAAAAAGAGTAGAGAAAAATCATGCCATTCGTCAAGGCAACAAACAGTGATGATGATGATGATGATGATGATGATGATGATGATGGTGATTTGAAGAACCGAATTCACGCCTTCTCCGCTACGCGACTCACTTGGTTACACGCTACTAACTTGGCGACAATGGCAAAGGGGAATGATCTTGCGGGAGGGGGTGCCGCACCGAGGTCTGATCTGATCAAGACGAAAGGGAAGAGAAAAAAGTTGAACAATATCGCAGCCTGAGCAAATCCCTTTTTATTTGTATTTTTGCAAATTTTTAGCACGATCGAAGGACTTGAGGTGTTGAGTTGATAAGAAAAAAGAAAAAAGAAGAAAGGAAAAACACAAAAATAGATACAAGAAAAAAAAGATGAAAGAGCGGTAAAAAAGGGATGTGTCTGTCCGTGTACAGAGTAGAACATTGGTGTCTGCTCCCTTTCCATCATGTCTCTACCGGCCCTTGCGCTATCGTCATGACCTTTGTGCAGACACGTTTGGTAAAAAGACATGCATCCTGCAGAATCAATGACGGTAGAAGCTGGGGTGCCCTTGTCATTAGTTAGGGCAGACAGCCGAACACGGCCAAACAGGAAATCGTGGAGGTTGCGCCGGGGCATGCACATGAAGTAAAAGTCACGTCGCGCTTCTATTCATATGTTACTGACAGAGGCAGTTCAAACAGTTCTTTTTTTGCTCATTATTCGTAGAAATCTGGATCGCCTTTATTACTTGCCCCTTCTGGGAGAAGCGTCAGGTACCAAAACGAAAATCAGGTACCGGGAAGAAAAAGCGCGGGCGCAACCCCCCCCAGCTCTAGGGCTGACCCGCGAAATGTCCAATGATGAAAGGCCCCTTGGAAATGAGCGAATTTAACCAACTGGGCGGGCTAAGCCAATCAAGGGGGTAAAAGTCTCTGCCGCCCCTCTTCATTGTATTACCGTGGCGTACGTCCGTAATCCGTACTCGTCTCCAGTTTACAAGGTCGCTTTCTTCCCTTTTCTTTTTTTCCCTTTTTTTTCTCGGCTATGTATCCCCCGGAAAATCTAATCGGGGCGCAGCAACAGGTGCCTCGATAAACGAGAACAAAACAGGAAAGAGAAGGAGGGCAAAAAAAAAAGGGTAGAGTTGTGTTTTTTTTTTAGTGGGAGACTCGGAATATATTTGATTCATGTGCCTATATAACGGATCTAGTACACGGGAAGAAAATAAAAGAAATCTGGCCATTCTTGACGCTAATCACAGCACACAGATGATGGGGGACCGCTCGTTGCCTACGACACGGTGCAACATCACCCTCCGACTTCATTTTAAACATGGCAAAAAAAGAACAACTGCCACGAGGTCGAGCAAAGAAGAATACAGAGAGGAAGCGGGGGCTTGATTACGGATACAAGTCGTTACTGTGACAAAGGTCACGAGGCTGCTCGCTCCCCCCAGGCTGGTGAGACAGCGTTGGGTATCAGCGGATACCCTCATTTCCCTCAAAAGCCCCTTCAAGTACCGGAAGGGGCCAGCGCGTGCACACCGCGACGTGGTTCATGAAAGCTTTGCTTGGCTCTGGGGCGACGGGCATGGACAAGTCTCACACATGAAGTCCCGCGACTGACACAAAGGGAATGCGCCAGGCCCCCCCCCCCTTCATCTCTTCACGCTGGCCCCCGGTCTAGCGCCATCATCAGTGAATGAATGAGCAATTGATTTTTTTTTTCTTTTCCTTTTAAACTCTTTTCCCGCTAGGGCCAGTTGTTCCTCTAGTCTTTGTGGGTCTAGATGTGATTACCCTGCCCTCCGTGTGTGTGTGTGTGTGTGTGTCTTGTTCGTGAGATGGCCTCCCCCCCAAGACTGTATTAGTAGAACGGGCGCGCCCACACCCCAAATGCCCGCCTTTTCCCTCTTACAAGCTCATTCTCATAAAAGACTTCGTTGGCAAAGTCTTGTTTTACGAATTAAAGCTTTGCATTCACGAATATCACTCACGCTCATTTTCTTACACCACAGACTCACACGCTGAATCTCATCCAACCCAACCAACCGACGCTCACTCAGTCCTTCAACTTGAAACAAGTCGCGCTTCAGCCCGGCCCGATCCATTGACGAGCTCAAAGTAGCGCAATTTTTAACCTTTCTTTGCCCCGAAAGGCAAAAAGGGAAGGAGAATTAGAAAGAGAGAGAGAGAGAGGGAAAAGCACAAACATCTACGACTTTGTTGACAAAGATTTTGCTTTGTATCCTGACAATACACATACACAATCAACACCAAGAAGGAGGAACAAGATCCAACCACGACACAGTATCGCGATGCGTCTATCCACTCTCCTCTTCGCCGTGCTCCCGGCCCTCGCTGCAGCCGACGATGCCAACTCTGCCGCGCCCAGCGTGACTACCATTACCGAGACCAGAACCGGCACGATACACTTCACCAAGACGGTCACGCTCGCGCGCGTCCACATGGTCGTGTCCACGCTCAACAGCACCAGCAGTGCCGTCATCCAGCCCACCGGCGGCATCACCCATCCGTCCTCCATTGCCGCAACCACCACTACCACTACCGCCGCCGCCGCCGCCGGCAGCCCGACTGCGGTGGCCACCAAGGGCTCGACCAACGCCGGCGCTGCGCTGGAAGCTGGCAAGGTTGTCTTTGCAGGCGTGGCTGGTATGGTTATCGTGGCCCTTTTGTAAGGGAAAAAGGGAAGAAGAAGAATGGACAAGTTTGAACAATGAGGAATCTCTCTCCCTTGCCAAGCTGTTCAATTGAGTCTTTCCCGTTCCTTTCCTTGCAACTCACCCGTCTATACATTTTGGGCAGGACCTCAATGGGTGTCGCCGTCATGTTCTTCTTCGCTTCTGGCAACACTCGAGTACAATCTTTTGAAAGACATTTACAAGTCCTCTGTTTTGAAAAACAAAAGAAACAACAGGACCAATTTCTTTGGTCAGCCTTTTTTTTTGTGGCCGCTTTTTTTTTTTTTTTGATCTTTTCCCCCATTATACCTCTTTCTTCTTTCTGCCGGTAGGCGTTTTCTTTTTTTCTTCTGGATTTTATGCTTGACGACCTCGACGAGTACGAACCAAGGCGACTTTTCTGGGCACCAGCCTCTGTTCTCTCAAGTCATTCTGTCTTCTCATGTCTGCCATGAGAGAGAGAGAGCAGCATGCTCATGACTGAGCAAGATCAAGCTGCCGCACACGCTTTCTTACCCGCAACTGCCTCCTTTTGGTTCGTCACATTTACTTGGCGGTTTTTTTTCTTTGACCTTCTGGTACTTTTGTTGATACCAAGTCGTTTTCTGGGGAGGAAGAGGTTGTCTTTTTTGTTTCTCGCTTTGACTACTTTCAACATGAAATTCAGCTGTACACCAACTGGACCATGATCATGTCCAGCCATGTCCAGCCATCGGATACGCCCCCTATTTGATGGTACCCCTTGTCGAACTCTGTGTGGGATAGCCTTGGTCTTTGAACCGCGCCTCATCACAGACGGAGGGACAAGAACGTGAGTGGAAGAACTCAAAAGCGTACAAAACACTACATCTTCGACTTGTTACCATATTCATACCCATCTTCTTTTTGCTTCACGGGATGAACAGGGCTCTTTACATATTCATGCTTTCTGAGGAGTCATCATTGCTCCAATCTTGTCGCACAGAAAAGGGAGTCTCCTCTCCTTCATCGCGCAAAACAAGATTTTGTTTCTTCTTGGTACTCGCGCGGCAGCCAGTGGTTTAACATTCTCTTGAGGATTCGGCTTCTGCTGGGGACTGCTGCGGGCGACGGGCTTTCCATGGTTTTCTATCTTTTTTGAGAAGCCTGCGAGCGGCTGTTTTGATAACAAACAAAATCAGATAGAACCAATCGACGAGACCTGGAGAAAATGTGTCGAAGTTGTTGTGACTAAGTTGTCGTGTGCATCAACCAATCAACGTTAACCATGCCGCAACTAGTAACGGCGCCGTCGAATGTATGAATCATCATGAACCATAATCATACGCGCTCTCCTTTCTTTGCAATTTAATGGCGCCATCGCTAAAACAGCCCTGGCCTGCTGATTAAATGGCAGCCTGCGACTCGTGTCCGCGGTCGGCGGCGGCGGGCCCCATCGGCCCATGCGGCCTTGTCTTGTAGCTGCCCGCCAAAAAGAGGCAAAATTAGTGGAGCGCGCTGTCCAACGTTTTAGTCAACGATTTGTTCACAGAAACACGAGCTTTTTTGGCCCATCATCTTCCCCTTCCCCCCATTCATCTGTATCGTACACACTTTCTGGCCCATCTAGGAATCCGGAAAGGCCATCTTCACCACGCAGAGCCGCACAATGGCTTCCCTACAGCGATCCGCTGCCCCCCTGCGCAGGGTCCTCCACTCCAGAGCTTCCACCGCCGCAGTGACGACGACGACGGCCACAAGGGGTCTTGCCACCGTCCCCTCCCCCTCCGACGACAGCGCCAAGCCGAAACGCAAAACATACTTTAAAGACACGACTGTCGCCTCTCTCGACGACTTCATCGGCGGCAAGGGCGGCAGCAGCGGCGGCGACGCGCTGAGTCAGTCGGCGGCGTACGAGCTGCGCACCGCCCAGGTCGGCCCCGAGGGCAAGAAGCGGACCATTACGCGGCTCCCCGAGTGGCTCAAGACGCCCATCCCCGCGGGCAACGACAATTTCAAGAAGATCAAGGCGGACCTGCGGGGTCTCAACCTGCACACGGTGTGCGAGGAGGCCCGGTGTCCCAACATCTCCGAGTGCTGGGGCGGCAGCGACAAGTCGGCGGCGACGGCCACCATTATGCTCATGGGCGACACGTGCACGCGGGGCTGCCGCTTCTGCAGCGTCAAGACGAGCCGCGCGCCGCCGCCGCTCGACCCTCACGAGCCCGAGCACACGGCCGAGGCGCTCGCCCGCTGGGGGCTCGGCTACGTGGTGCTGACGAGCGTCGACCGCGACGACCTCGCCGACGGCGGCGCCCGCCACTTTGCCGAGACGATCCGCAAGATCAAGCACAAGAAGCCCTCGCTGCTCGTCGAGGCCCTGACGGGCGACTTTGGCGGCGACCTCGACATGGTCCGCATCGTTGCCGAGAGCGGCCTCGACGTCTACGCCCACAACGTCGAGACGGTCGAGGGCCTGACACCGTACGTCCGCGACCGCCGCGCCACTTTCCGTCAGAGCCTCAAGGTCCTGAAACATGTCAAGGACGTTCGCGGCGACCAGGGCATCATCACAAAGACGAGCATCATGCTCGGCCTCGGCGAGCAGCAGCAGGAGCTCGTCGACGCCATGACGGAGCTCCGCAAGGCCGGCGTCGACGTCGTCACCTTTGGCCAGTACATGCGGCCCACGAAACGCCACCTCAAGGTCGAAAAGTACATTACCCCCGACGAATTCGAAATGTGGCGCCAGCGCGCCCTCGACATGGGCTTCCTCTACGTCGCCAGCGGCCCTCTGGTGCGCTCCTCGTACAAGGCCGGCGAGGCCTTTATCGAAAATGTCCTCCGGAAACGTGCAGGCGACAAGGCGCCCATTGCAGCAGCACAGGCCACTCTCGATCAGTCCGTCATCGTGGACGGGCGTACCGGGCCGTAGGATTTTCTGGTTTTCTTGCTGTAGTTTTTTACGTTTTTTTTAAACATATCAATATACTGGAGGGGGCGTATATGCGTTTCATTTACACCTTTATTCAACCAGTCAAGATGAGACGAGGGCGGCATAAGGGCAACAACGGCGTTAGGGTCTGCATTTAAATTCTTTATATTACAACGATTATAGAGCCTTTTGGCGGCTACAGATATCGGTGACTAGTTATAGCAGAAGCCACCACCACTACCACCACCGCCACCGCCATCAACAATGAATCATGAATCTCGCAGAGCCTTCAACAATTGGTCTGCAGAAAACAAATTCCTTCCAATCCCTCCCCTCCTCCTCCCATCGTGTCTCATAATTCGTGAAGCTGATGTTTGCTTGTTTTTTTTGGGGTATCCCCAACGCCTAAACAAAGAACCAAGAAAATTTCCCAAAAATGACTCTTTACCTTTCAAAACGGCCTAGTTCAGCGGGACATTTAAATTCTTGAAGATGGTAAGATGTGGAAAGAAGAGAACTAGAAAGAACAAGAAATTCAAGCGCTGTATCAATGTCATCTGTGTAAAGTTAGCACGAGAGTCAGGCTTCCCTGCTCTCTCTCTCTCTCACCTTGACTGCGCCAAAGCAGCCAAAGTATTTTGATGAATCTTTTTTTGACTGCCATTATCTTCTTTCAAAGGCCGTCTTTGCCCTCCGCGGACGGCCTCTGGGTGAGCAGCTGCATCCCGTCTGCAGAGAAGCTGGAACTGCCAGGACCGTAATGATGCCGCAATCTGCTCTACCTGCAAGCTTCAAAAAGGATGTCAAAAAGCTTTGCGTTGCAAGACTTTTGGCGAGTCTGTCCCCCCCCCCTTTTTTTTTCTTTTCTTTTTCGTCTTTGCTTTGTTTCCAAAATCCTTTTTCTTTTTTGTTGAACGCCGCTGCCCATTTTTCAGAGGCGCTCCCACAACCCACGCAGACCCATCAGCGCAATCGGCACGGCCTCGTCCGTCGCAATGTCCCTGCTGCCCTGTCCCGGCAGCACATTGACCCAGTGGTCAAACAGCTCGCGCGTCTTGGCTCCGCGGATCTGCATGGCGGCGAGATGCGGGTCGTGGGCCGCGGCGAGCTCGATGCCGCGCGGGCCGCCAAAGACGACGAGCAGGTGCTGAAAAGACGGCGTCTCGTTGTCGGCGGCGGCGACATCGGCGGCGGCGACATCGGCGGCGGCGGTGTTGTGGTTGTTGTTGTGGTGGTGATGATGATGATGATGATGATGGTACCCGCGGCGCCAGTTCTGGCTTTGCTGATGCTGCTGCTGTTGGCGCTGCTGATAGTCTGCCATGACTTGCGACAGCGGCGTGCCGCGCTCCGACGTGCCCACGCTCAGGTCATAGCCGCCTGCGTGCGGGCACTCGGTGAAGACGCCCGACAGGCTGGCGCTGCGGCGCACCGCGTAGCCCCAGTAGTAGCCGCCCTTGGTGCGCGGCTCGTCTGGGTGCACGCACATGGGCGGCGGCGGCGACTGCTGCTGCGCGTCATTCGGGCCGTCGAAGCGCAGCGTGACGCGCGTGTTTGGTGGTATGACATCGGCGACGCGCACTAGCCCGCCGATGCCCGTGTCGACCAACGAGCCGCCGCTCCCGTCCGGCAGCAGCAACGTGTCGGCGTCTTCGCCAGCGGCTGTCACCGTCACGCCCTCGGCATACGGTAGCCACGGCGCCTTGGCGCGCGGGTGGTGCGGCATGTCGAGGGCCGGCAGCAGCGCCGTGTGTCGGAGGTTGGGGTGCAGCGGAAACAGTCGCCGCCGCATAAACGGCGGGCACTCAAGAAACGACAGCACCTGCGCGACAAAGTGGCACGGGTCGGCATCGCCCGTGTATATGCCGGTGTTGCTGCTACCGTCGGCCATGTCGAAGCGCGTCGTGGTGTTGCGCGCCGACGGGGCGTCGTCGTCGTATACAATTACCTCGTCGACGCAAAAGATGGAGAGGGACCGCGCGAGGCGGGCGACTGTGACGAGACGCTGCTCAGCGGTTGGTAGACTGCAGATGTGGGTGTTGGTAATACTCTTGAAAACGGAGAAGGGGGGGGCGGTGTGGTGGGGAACGTACTTGCTGAGGATGCTGCCTGGTACGGCAATGGAAATGGTCCATTGGCGACCTCCGCGGATGGGCACGAATCGCCTCGAGGTCTTGGAGCTTCCGAATGGGAGCGTGGAGCTTTGCGCAACCTTGCGCTTCTTGTGATCGAGCTGATCATCGCCGGCGGCGGCGAAAGCGTGCGAGAACTTGCGACCCTTGGCGTTGCCTTTGGCGTGCATGGTTGGCGTGAAGGTGAAGGCGCGAGATGATCGCGCTAGAAGAAAGAGTTTTTTACGAGAGGAACTGGAGTTCAGGATCAGCCAGAGGGGAACCGGCGCATTATATAGCTGTTTGTGGTGGGAGAGCTGTGTGACGACAGACGTTGGTGTTTGCAGGACGATATTTTTTTTAGTGTTCCCCCAAGGCTTTTTTGCGCGACGGGAGTGCGCGGGGGGTGGGGCCGCGACCGGAGCCGGCGCCGCCACGAGATCAAGATGCACTGTTATTACTGGCGGAAAAGCAAACGCGAGTTCGTATTCCTCATCAAATGTTGGCCTGCTTTGAAACCGTGAAACGTAACGTCCATGTTGTACGCTGTCAATGTTTGCTACGTGAATCACTGAACGCTGACCGCTCCTCGGGCCCTCATACAAGAGACTTACTTGGCGGTCGAAAGCTGCTTCTAGTGGTCGACCGTATTCGACAAGAATATGCCGTCATAGTTGTTCTTCTCGTCGAACATCTGAAAATGTACCGCGATTTTCACAGAGCACTCAAGCACGCCGTGTCCACCACGGTCTTTGGCAGCGCGACTCGCTTCGCGGAGTGAAGCTCTCTTCCATGAGCACCGCCAATATGGCCTTTATCTCATCTGCCGTCCTTCTGTACTAGGGCCGCTCTGCGGATCCGCCAAACGTATATATATACCGCGCCGCCACGTGAGACTTGAATGTAAAAGCACGACCCAAATCGCGGAGCCGGACCCTCTGCGTTTTTCCCCAGGCCCAGGGCGCCGAATTTCGGCGGCTGCGACGCATCACACCCTCTGCCTGTAGGCGCTGTGAAACAAATGACGCGGCCACTCGTCGTGTGAGCCACCAGGCTGCACGGCCATCAGACCATTGGAGATGCCCGTCTCAATTTGTGTCTGTCTTGATTCTGCACGTAGGGCGACAGCCACGTAGCGGATACTCTTCATCGCCTCGTCGTCGGCAAGGCACCAGATCAAGAGTAGCACTCTCCATGACACACGGCGTAGATTTAAATGTGCTCGACAGACAATGAAAATCATGTCGCACGGTGATGAGTTCAAGTCGGAGGTGGCGGAAGGGGCGGATCTGATTCTCTTCCAGTCGCCTTTTCGCGTCGTATTTACGACATTCGAAATCCTTCTGCAACAGGTCATCTTGGTCTCCAAACAGGAACTGGATTTGGGTCCTCGGGACGATGGAGGCTAATGCGAGCAATGAACAACTTCGGCTGGACAGTAGTTGTGTAGTTTGTGAGTCATGGCCTTCGCGTACATCACATTGCAGGGAATAGTTGCTTGTAGGTTCTTGGTTAAACTTCGCTGCGTGCAGCTAGACTGCTTCACTGCGAAAGCGACACAGGTCACGACCATCGCATCCAAAGACAGCAAGTAGTAGAGGTCACAGTCCCCGGATTGTGCAATTGCTTTGTGATGGAAGCATATTGCTATTCTTGCTCGTGGAAGACCTATGCATCACAGGTTAATTTCGCTGCGAATCACCTGCCTTGTACGTCTTCTTTAGCAGGCGAATCTCGCTAATGATTCGGATCAACTGGCTATCAAGTGCCTCTTTCCCAATCCTAGAGATGGGAGCGTAGATAAGTCCGTCTTCGTCGATCCATAGCTTGTATAGTCCATGGTCAGCAGGTGTGGGCTGCCATCGAGGCTCGTCACGACAAACGAGCAGACCTGACAATCTCGAGCCTGCCACAAGGAGATAAAGTGAGGCAATCTGAGCACAGTGCGTCGCACCTATGCACACACACGCGGAGACAGGTGCTCTCTGCGTCCTGGTGCTATTTCATTTGTAATTTTTGTCAAAATGTATTCTCACAACATCGGCCTAGATGACTACCTGTTTGTTGTAAGTGCAAGGTCCGTGTTGGAAGTGCGTCGTGGGTATTTGTGGTTCCTGGCAGAAGGACTGACCGCCTGCCAGATTCGAAAGCGTCTGCCAGGCTGGTGCTATTCGTCAGCAACCGTGTCCAAGACGTGACCTCAATCATTTCATCCCGCTATTAATGGTTACATCTTTACCATTCTATTATACGATAAGAAATTTAATACAATATGCCCGCCACACAGCACATTGACGACAAGGTCGAGTGGGACATGGTGCTCGAAAAGACGCAAGTCGTGGTTGCTGACTGTATGGCTCACCTCATCAACTACGCTCTCCCCTTGGGACAACAAAAGCTAACTCCCACCCTCGTAGTTTACGCAGACTGGTGCGGCCCTTGCAAGATGATTGGGCCTCACTTTGAGCGCCTGGCCGACGAGTACGCCAAGCCCAAGAAGATGGCCTTTGTCAAGGTCAACACGGAAAAGGGCAGCATCGGGCAAATGTACGGCGTCCGCAGCCTGCCCACGTTCAAGGTCCTCCACAAGGGCGTCGTCGTCGAGACCGTCACCGGTGCCAACCCCGCGGCGCTGGCCGGCGCCATCGTCAAGGCCAGCAAGCTCGTGCAGGGCGGCGGCAGCGCAGAGGTCTTTGGCAACCGTGGCCAGACGCTCGGGGGCTCCGGCGCGAGCGGCTCTTCCCTCGCCAACATTCGATTTGATCCCATCTCTATTGTAAATCATGTCATTACAATCATCGGACTGTACTTGGTGTCCTTTTTCTCGGTATGTTTCAGAGTGAAGGCGCCCCACGCGAATGCGCCGCTCGCTAACCGCCTGGTGGCAACAGAGCGATGCATACAGATCCGCCAAAAACTCGTCGTTCAACGTTGAAAATAAAAAGAGTGCCACGCGTCCGGTAAATCAGAATGCGGCGCGACCAGCTGCGACGGCGCCTCCGAAACCAAAGACTTTCAAGACATTAGCAGACTTGAGCTCGGAGTGATGTGTTACATTGTGGACTTGTAGAATTTCCTTGCGAATGATGATTGTCCTTTAGTATGCCTTTGAAATGACAGCGCGGTAAAATTTAAACTCGAGCACTACATGGCCTTGAAAGTGACAAAGCAAAATAGACCGTCGCAAGGGAAGCTGCTTCTTGCCTGTAATTACGGAGATAATTAACCAGTAAACCAGCAATTGCACATTCGATGTCACTGCATGCAACCGTGTGGGGCGCCGCGCGACCTCAAGCTTCCAGCTCGTAGCTCCAACATCCTCCGATCATACTTCGCGGCACGTCAAGTCTTTTTCTCGAAATCTGCTTCGCAGCTACGGCTTACCATTCGAGCATCGTTGAACGGCAGTGACCTCTTATCCCCGTCGAGCGGGTCATTTGTGCCACAACCGCAGCACACCGCACATCATGGACAATCCTTTGGACCAAACAACGTTGTCCACCATCTCGCTGCTCGAGTCGCGTCTTCTGCGCATCGAGCACCTCCTCTACGGCTCATCAGCACCAACGCCACCTCCACAGCACGAATCGGCATTGCAAAAATTGGCCAATTTGGAAAAACGCTTCTCCATGCTAACGTCGCGCATCCGCGTCTACGGCGACCTCCTCAAGATCTGTACGTCCCTCCCCCTCTCCCAGCACACCGCCAACCATTTCCTTACGACCCCCTCCTCGCTTACCCTCTTCTCATTCTCTACAGACAAGGCATCTCCCGACTTCTTCCAAGCCCCCCACGCGACCGAGCTCCCGTCGCAGCTGCCCACCGACTCTGTTCGCGCAATCGTGCTGTCAGCCGCGCCGTCGTTTCCTGCGACCGTGTCGGCGCTGACGGCCGTGCAGGATGCGCCGGTGCCTGACCCTGCGGAGAGCGCGGTGCTAGTGGCGCTGCGGGAGCGCATGCGCGCCGTCGAGGCGACGCAGCGGGCGCAGGTGGCCGAAGTGGCGGAGCTGCGCGGGCGCGGCGAGGCGGCGCTCCGGGCGTGGTACGAGGGCGGGCTGCTGCCGGCGT